TAGGATGTTCAGAGTGGCATACGTGGCGTTGAATTCGATTGGGAAGATGCCACCGACATTCTGGTCAAAGTTCAAATAGCGTGAGGCTGGGTGCGGCTAATTAGGGAACCGTTAATTTGCTCAGTTTCATGCTCAACACAAACAGGAAAATAGACTATAAATTCCCAAAAATTGAATATACATGGATCAAGTAGGAAGAGGTGGTAATTCTACAGTCTTGTCTTGGTTCCGCAGGGCGGCCTGCTCCAGCGAAACCTCTTGCGAGTCATAAACAAAGAAATAAGGGTAGGAAGGTCGTAATGCAGCCGCAAGGGCTTCTTCGTCTGAAGGGTCTGTGCTAGCAGCAGGAAGGGATGGCAAAGGTGGCGCTGGCTCTCCTTCGGCTGCTCTTCGTCTCCCCCAAGCCAGTCTTACTCTCATCGAGGGTTTGTTTTTCATTTCTGCGGCATCTATGTGACATATTAGGATCCGTCATGTTGAATCAGAGGTCACTAACCCTTTGCCACAGATTTTTGCCACTTGTTTACGGTCTCTGCTGGCCACCCTATCCGCGTAAGAAGAGGTTTGACCGCCTCCATTCCACCCTTCATAATAGTGAGAACCCATATATATCAGAAGAATTAATTTACAAACCAGTGCATCCTGTCTCATAAGGCTACCAACAAACAGCAGCAGTTGAGCCAGATTAGGATCTTGGCCTAAATGAAGAAATTGATAAGAGAATGTCTTCCGGTCTTGTCTACCACTTACTAGTGGCCCAAGGTCCTGTGGAAATCTATCAGTTCATATCAAGTTCACAAGCGTCGGTCCATACCTATTGGTAGGTAAAGGCTCGCAGTTTTGCATCTATACAAGCTAATTAGCATCACAATAGCACCTGTAATTGTCTACCTACGTTTCTGGGTCAAACAACGGGTCCGACCAGAGGCCAGCATCAAGACCGGCATCCATCCCCTCAATATCGCTTCCAATTCTTTTAAAAGCTCGTCTCAATTCTAAGAAGGTTCTCAAGTCAGTTCAAGATTTGCTATGACATGCGAATCTCACCTGTCACGATGCGTTGTTGCCACGAATCATCTGGATTGGTATCCGTAGCAAAAGGAAGATATTTAAACTCTTCTGTGAAATAAAGAGAATAGTCCATCTCAATCCACAGAACAATACCACCAGGTTTGAGACACGAGTGTACGTCCTTCATTCGCTGGGCAAAGTTCTTCATGCCCCCGGCTACAAACCGGAGGTGCACCACGTCAAATTGGTTCTCGAAATGGGTCAAGCCAAGATTGATATCATCAACTTCGAAGCGGCAATTTGGAGGGAGGCTTTCTGTTGCGATGGGACAAGGAGCCAGATCTACCCCTACGACCTCGGCCCACGGGAATTGCTTTGCCATCTCGACGGCCCTACCAAGGAGTCAATACCGAGTATGCACACAACCCCCCCGAAATGAAGGCCCGTACCAAACACCAGTTCCACATCCTG